GGTCTGCTAATGAGAGTGGTGTGAATGTGTCTGCCTGACATACAGCTTTATGTAATAATGAATGTTGTGAGCGGTTGTAAAAGAATTTTCTGAGTAATATGATCTGATTATAATGAAGGTTTGTGATATCAATGAGTCCTCTGCCACCCTCAATTTTAGGCAGGGTTAATCTCTGAATACAAGACCTAGGGTGATGTTTTCTGTGTTTAGTCATAGTGGTATTAATTATTCTTTGTAAAGTTGTGAGATCAGTTTGAGTCCAGCGGATAATACCAAATAAGTGTGTTGGAATCGGGATAGCGAATGTGTTTATCGCTTTGATGGTGTTTTTTGCGTTAATGTGAGTATGTAATATCTTGTGTAATCTGTTCCTAAGTTTTTCTTGTAATAGTTTTTTTGTGTCTTTAAGGTGAATTTCTGTAGACTGATAATAACCTAGGTATTTATAACCCTCGCTAGGATCAACAGCTTCTATTAGTTCTTGGTTGTCTAATTCGTATTCTATTGGTTCTGCTATACCCTTAACAATTGACTGAATTTTGCACTTATCTATTCCAAACTCCATGCAGATGTCATTTGGAAAAGTTTGTGTTATTATTTTTATATATTCGATAGGCTGACGTTTGTCCACTATCTCGCCTGGTAGTGCACGATGATGCGGTCTACGATGGAGCACGTCGTCCCATAAGCGACCTATTCACTCGGGCCTTGAAGACACCCAGGTTATACCCTTCAGGAAACAAAGACTCTGGCAAAGAATTCCACTCATAGTGGGTGTGGTCCAGTGGAGCTCCCTGCCGGCCGGGGGTCTCCGCGGTGTGTCCACTGACACTTCAACTTGCTAATCCGCTGGGCTATGTCGTTTACCTTTGTTTGTTTGCGGATTTCTTCGTTTTTTATCCAATCTCGCAAATAAACTCCAAGCATAGCCCTGTCCGTAACACACTGAGCGACCTTGAGCTTCTTTGTAAGGCCCATTGGTGGAGGCCTATGTATGTCTGTATATCTTGTGGTTGGTATTATGATAATGATATAAAGTGACTTACATCTCTTAAACTCTGCGATCCGTCCCCGGCGGCGCTTGAAGCTTCCTTTTTATTAATTGCTATTATACTCCTGAAATAGAACAAATTAAATATAATTAATTTACGTTGTCTCATATTAGAATTTTCTATACCATGAGTTAAAGTTTAGATAACATAACATAACATCACGCCTTATCCCCGAAGGGGTAGGCAGCACATTACGACACTTAATGCAACTGTACAATGTAACACCCACTTTTCACTATTTATGTTATGAGTCCCGTGTAATAGGGCGTAAGCATATTGCCTATTTATTTCTATTGGATTTTCTCCTGTGTCGTGTGTCCGTTTACAAACATACAAGTTCACATAAACACACAGACACGGAACTACAATCTGTGGATCACACAAACAGTTGCTACGTGCGGGAATCGAACCCGCTACTCCGTTGCGCGGCAACCGGACAATTGAAATAAATACTTTTGAGTTTGAGATCGTGGTACAAAATGGCCGATATTAGAATTAGGGAGTCCCCTACCTGTCCGGTATAGCGTCTAACCGTGTCCTCTCCACAGCTGGACTCTGACTCTTCTCCCCGCTCCGCGTCGATGACCTGTAACCATAGACAATAGTCGAATGTAGTGGAAACTATCGTTTTTCTTCTCCTCTTTTAATATCTCCTGATTCACTTCGTTGCGGGAACCTAGACAGTTACTCATGTATCTGGGACGTTGGACTTCAGTGTTCCGGTGTTTTCATGGTTGTATCTACTGTAGATCCAGTGCCTTTAGCCAAACGCCACTTTAGCGCTTGTCTACAGGGAGAGTAGAAAACTAAATGTATGGGGATGACACTGACAAGTGTCAAAATTTACGTCAATTCCATATAATTTGGTTTTCTATACTAATATTATAAAGAGGAAAGATTTGTATTTTTGTATGTTTGTAATGAATAAACTCAAAAACTACTGGACCGATTGCAATAATTTTTTCACCATTAGAAAGCTGCATTATTCAGAAGTAACATAGGCTATATAATATCACGCTAGGTCCTATAGTTGTGGAGCAGTAACCAAAAATGTTTTAAAAACGGGGGAAAAGTATCGTTTCTGAGGCCTTCCGTGGCGTGCGCTGAGCATATAGTTAAGTTATACAAAAATGCTCTATAGATGAATTGTTCATCTTAACATTATTTTTAAAAAAGTCCGCGAGAGCATATGTCTACCTTTTATAGTTTACCCATAACAATCGTTTTAATGAATGGTTCAATCCTTATAAAAGTTTGCTCTAGATAACTTTTGAATTGTTCAATCGGTTACCTTAAGACTATTAATTCATCCAAAAGATACCTATTAGGTAAGTACTTACCTACTATTTCAAAAATAATAAACTGAGAATAAATATAAATAAAACGTAAAACTATGTAAAACATCTTAAGTCCCCCCGTGCGAAGCCGGGACGGGCCGCTAGTCTATTATAAAAGTAGACGAGCGCTAAATGGCATTCGTCTACAGCTGCGGGTGCACGGGAGTTGCAGTGGTTTTGGGAGGTTGTGGCGGGATTGTCACATTAAAAAAGTAGTCATCCCAATATTATATATCTGTATTATATGTGCCAACTAAACTACTATTATAATGTGTATTTGACCGTTTCCATGGCAAAACGGAGCGACGACTACGACACTTAATGCCACTGTACAATGTAACACCCACATTTCACCAGAGTCGGTTATAGGTCTTTGCCATCTGATGAATTTGCCACGAGTTTCGAATAGTATATAGTTACGCCCAGGGACTGAATAACCGAAAAATTACGATACCTTTAAATTGCGGTATGACGTCATACCGTTAAATAACGGTTACCGCTTAATTTCGGTATCGAAATTTAATTTCGGTACCGCTATTTTTGGGTATGAAATGAAAACCGGTATATTTCGGTACCAGTATCCTAACCTGAATAATAAAGGTATGAGAGAGATATTGACCGCGCTAGATCATCTATCCTATTTCATCGCATTGCATTAGTTTGGTTGGCTTGTTCTCTGGACACAATCACATGCGGCTCGCGTTATAATATTTTATGGTGTGCTGAGTTGAATTGAGATAACAATTATTAACAATGTCAAATAACGCACGAAAACTTATAATAACAGAAATAAGTAAGTATATGTACTTATTACTACTTATGTAATCTGATAATAACATACTTCTAGTTGACACGTAACGAGTACTAAGTACTAGTATCTTACCTACTCGTTGTCGACGCGTACGGCACGCGGCGGCGATCTAACGCCAGTAGACACGCTCACACACAGACGCTGCGTGCGTACTATTTTATTACACTTTTTATGTTATTACACTATAGCTCATTACTATAGTTTATTATAACGTAGTGTGTTATAATATTTTTTTTACCTTATAGGTATATATTTTCACGACATTTTTGTCAAAAATTGGTTAAATGCCTAAAGTTTTTTTATTTCTACCTCGTCGGGCGCGGATTTCCAGAATTCTTGTTTTGATTCAAAGGGTATACTCCCGAGATGGTCCTTTTCATTGAGGTCAGGATCTGATAATAGAAGCCTAGGAAAACCGAGGAGAACTTTCGAAAATTGTAGGGGCGTGTAATATGTGTATTGTTATTCAATTAGGATTTTTAAACTCTACCCCAGGAGGGTACCAGCTCCGCTGGAGAATCCCTCCCTGAGCATGATTGCTCAGGCAGCCCCGTCGTATCTTGGCAAATTCCCAACGGCGACGTGCTCTGCCACACGTCACGTTTTGTCTCCCCGTGAGTAGGCAGAAAGCGGGCTGAGGATTGCCTTTTTGCTACACTGAATGTGTGTGGAGGCGTAGAAGGCAAGATGTTAGAAATATGTGAGATGATGAATACAAGAAAGATTGATTTGTTAGGGATGAGCGAGACGAAAAGAAAGGGTTGTATGACTACCACACATGGCCAATATATTGCTTACTGGTCTGGTGTTGCAAGTTCCCAGAGAGGCAGCCAGGGCGTGGGGGTCATACTATCTGAAAGGATGAATGAATGTGTGAAAGAGTATAAATGTGTGAGTCCCAGGATACTTTAGATCCGCCTTAAAATTGGCTTGACCAAATTATTTGTCGTCTGTGCTTATGCCCCGGACATCTCAAAGCCAATTGGGGTGAGGGAAGTATTCTGGGATAACTTGAGAGATGTTCTTAATGAATGTAAAGAGAATGAAAGAATAATTATGCTTGGAGATTTTAATGGATGGGTTGGAGTGGCACGCGATGGGTACGATAGAGTATTAGGGCGATTTGGAGACGAACGAGTGAACGAGAATGGTGTATGTCTTCTGGATATATGTGTAGAAAAGGAACTTTTTGTGACCAACACAACATTTGGTCACAAGAAGATACATATGTATACATGGCAGAGGCATACAGAAAGAAGTACGATTGATTTTGTGATTGTTGATGAACGCCTGAGGACAAAACTGAAGGATACAAGGGTTTACCGTGGCACGAATGTCGGAAGCGACCACTTCCTAGTAATTACTAGAATAGCTGGACTGGCAATGAAGTGGAGACATCGGCCACGGGTAAGGTTGCTTGGAACCGAGAGAGTGAGAGTTGAACGGTTGAGAGAAGAGGCAGCTAGGGACCAGTACAGGAAACTATTAAATGAAAGGTTTAGGGAGCTAATGAAAGGTTACGAAAGGAATATAGAAGAATTTTGGAAGGAATTTAAGGATGGAGTGATCGCAGTAGCTACTCAAGTATGTGGGGTAAGCAAGAAAAATAACACTGGAAGCAAGAGGAATGAATGGTGGGATGATGAAGTAAAAGAGGTGATAGAGCAAAAGAAGAAAGCATGGCTCGACTTATTAGCCTCAAAGGCAAATAGAAGAGTGCTAGAAAGTATGATAGAAAAGTACATTAGTCTCAAAAAGAGAGCAAAAGCGGTAGTTAACAAGAAGAAAAATGAATGCAAGGAAAAGTTTGAAAGGAATTTTTCGCGGAACTTTCGAGCCAACGCTAAACTATTCTGGCATTTAGTTAGAAAGGCCAGAGGCAAAGTGGGGGACTCGAAAGTAAGTACGATAAGGGATATAAATGAGTGTCATTGAAGAAAGTAAGGATGTTTTAAAGCAGTGGAAGGAATACTTCGAGAATTTATTTGAAAGGAGTGATTTGAAAGAAGAGGAAGTAAACGATGAAAATGAAAGTGCTAATGTGGGAGAAATAAATATGGATGAAATTGTGAGTGCCATTAAGAGTTTGAAAGTAGGTAAAGCAGCGGGATGTGATAGGATAACTACTGAAATGCTAACAGAGGGTGGAGGTGTAATTGCAAGCCTGGTGTATCTAATTTTTAATAAGTATTGGCGGTGCGGTCGTGTCCCTGGAGTCTGGGCCAAGGCCGTAATTGTGCCACTGTATAAAGGAAAAGGATCACAGCAGGAGTGCAAAAATTATCGCGGTATAAGCCTCCTAAGCGTAGTAGGAAAGTTGTATGCCAAGGTATTGATCGAAAGAGTGATGGATGTAACTGAGCGTAAAATCTGGGATGTGCAAGCGGGATTTCGAAAGGGAATGGGATCAAGAAATGTACGGATCAAGTCTTTTCGTTACGGTTCATTTCAGAGAAAGTGTTATCAAAGCACCAAAAGGTATTTTGTGCCTTTATAGACCTAGAAAAGGCTTATGACAGAGTGGTGAGGGATGAATTGTGGTCAACTCTGTCCATGTATGGGGTGGATAGCCACCTGATTCGGGTACTTAAATCCTTATATAAGGACTCGAGTGCCGTTGTCTGAATAAATGGGGACTACACAGAGTGGTTTAAAATTAATCGAGTTGTTAGGCAAGGCTGTGTAGCATCTCTTTGGCTGTTCAACCTATTTATGGACAGCTGTTTGAACGACCTGAAAGTAGGAGAGTCTGGATTAAGGATGAATGACACAGTGATTAAAACATTGTTGTATGCCGACGACCAGTGCTTGTTGCCTCGTCGGCCCAAGAATTACAACAAATGATCACTGCTATGAATGATGCATTTGAAAGGAAAGGTATGAAAGTAAATGTGAACAAGACGAAAGTGTTGGTGATAGAAAGAAATGAGGTGATAACAGAATGTCAGGTAATGATAGGTGATGAAAAAACCCACCGTGGGAGACAGGCGTGAAGTTATGTAAGTATGTATGTACAATTTGAAAAGGGTCTGGAGTCGACCTGATGATGGAGCCGACAGACAGTCAAAGGAACTCCTCAACGGTTTATATTAACTACCTTGTGTTTGGGCTTGATTGATTTGTATTGATGAGAACTTTACACCTAGATGGAGTAGGACTATCATTGAGGGTCTGATGATGAAGAACTGTAATTGTTAAGGGAACTCATCAACGGTTTATAGTAACTACCTTGTGTTTGGGCTTGTATAATTTGTATTATATAATAATTGTAGTTAAAATTCCAAGGTAGGTACCTAATCCTATTCATCTTATGAACATAATATTATATATACCTAGTAAATAATCAAAGTTTAGGTAAGTACCTACCCTAACGAACGATACCCAATGACTGGTTTTATGTAGGTATGTAATATAAGTAAACAAACATTACGATGTTCTTAGGTACACACCTACCTAGGATATCCGAAAGTTTAGATAGGTACGTACCGAATAATAAGATAAATGTTATAGTTAGGTATCTTATAGCTACAAGATAGATAATTATGTACATACCTACCAATTACATTTAGGGTATAGGTTGTATAAGTAGTACCTATATTGCATCTATACTCACTGACCGGTCAAAGTTTACAATGAATGGGTACAATACTTATTTTATTATAGCTAAGCATCCAGTTACTAAATATGTAGAAACATTACTTTCCTTGGAAAATGAAAAAAACGCATGTACTCATTAGTACTTATATCTCAATCCATATACTGCATTTTTACGTTTCCGCCTCATAGTTAATAGTTACACGACTATTATATAGTTATTAGATAGGTACGGTACACACAAATCATACAACGGTAGCGTAGTTTAGTTGCAGCAGTGACACGAATAAACAGGTACACAGGCGCGCGTTTTTCGCTTGCCGCTGCTCCACGCCTCGGAGTGGGGCCCCTCGCACCACACCCCGCACACTCCTAGCTTTACGTCTCGCAACGGTCAAATCTAAGTTTTTCGGTACCGTTATCGCATAAAGGTTAAATACCGGTATAGCTTTAATTTCGGTACACTTATTTTATACCGGTACCGTACCGTTATACCTTAACCGCTTTCAGTCCCTGGTTACGCCACTGTTAAAATGTAACTTGAAAAGGTAAACTAACATCTTGATCCCCAATTACGAAAAATCCATATAATTAGTTCATAAAAAAGTAACATAAGATCATGCCTTTTATTCCCAAAGGGTTAGGCTGACGTGCACACAGAGGTAACACTCACTTTTCACTATTTATGTTATGAGTCCCATGTAATAGGGGGTGAGTCTATTGCCATATACCGGACACAATTCCAGACTCCGTGCTACTACTGAGATTTCAAAAAAAACCCAGTAACACTTTGCAACCCGAGACCCCTTGCCTGCAGTCGCATTTGCAACCACTCGGCCAACGAGGCTGTAATAATCTTATACTATTATATATAGCGGAAGTTTGTTTTTTTTTTTGTTTGTTTGTTTGTTTGAACGCACTAATCTCCGTAACTACAAGTCTGATTTGAATAATTCTTTTTGTGTTGGATAGCGCATTTATCGAGGACGGCTATAGGCTATAAAACATCACGCTACGACCAATAGGAGCTGAGCAGAGCGCGCGGAAGTAGCTAGTGGATAATATATGCAAGTTACCGTTTGTCCCGATGATGTTCCGTGGCGTCGTAGTAGACCGACGCCTCGTCGTGGTTCGGCCGCGTCTCTCCGCTCACTACAGACTGAATCTTCACTGCAACAATTCATATTATTACTGCATCTTTTTTATATTTATTCATGCATTATTATTGAGGAGATTAAATTAATTTTATTTTTGGATAAGCCGGTAAACGAACAGACGGATCACCTGATGGTAAGCAATCGGCGTCGCCCATGGACACCCGCTACACCAGTGGTTCCCAAAGTTGTAGAGACTACGACCTATCTACATCAAGTTGCAAACCTCACGAACTATATATACTTAACTTCAAGCCTATCTCCTATGGGGGGTAGGCAGAGACTATGGATCCACTTTTAGGATTTTTTTTTCTTTTTCTTTAACAAACGTTGTCCCACAGTAGGATTTTCTCCTGTGTCGTGGGTGCGTTTACAAACATACAAGTTCACATACACAATGACACCCAGACCCGGAACAACAATTTGTGGGTCACACAAAGAGCTACCGGGCCAACAAGTCAAACTTTTAGGAATGAAACTGTTATCAATAGGAAAAGTAAAATATAGAATGGTTGGTTAGTGTGTCATATTATACAGACAAGGCCCTCTAAAATTTCACTTGCGACCCACCAATGGGTCGCGACCCATAGTTTAGGAAACCCTGCGCTACACCAAAGGAGTTGGTAGTGCGTTATCTGCGTTATGGGGATTAGCAGTTTGAGGATTGTTGGATTCAGGAATTAGAGACATTCCGGAAGCCCCCCGTTCGGAGGAAACGAAGTGTTGTTTTCCGCTGAGAAAAGCAGTTTACAGAACTACCCGCATTGAGCAAGCGTGGTGATTAAGGCCCAAACCTTCTCCTTGGTATTTACTCAACAGTGTACACCCTGACACCCTGTCTGTCGAGGCTTTTAATCCCTAACAGCTTGACATCCATCTTAAGAAGCTGGCGATAGGTGATTGGATCAAGGGCCTGACACAATATTGAAGGCAGTTCTCCTAGAAACGGCACGTATCGTGAGGTTTCTGTCTCTGGAGCCCTAACCACCGGTAGCTTGGACCATGCTCCCGCTACTGGTAGGCTCCTATTTATATATAGTGTAATTTTATAAGTATGTGTGGACTAAAATTAAGCGATCGAGTGAAAAATAGTGCTATTAGAGAAAGGTGTGGATTGAAAGATGATATAGTGGCAAGGATTGAAGTAGGAATGTTTCGCTGGTTTGGACATGTAGAAAGGATCGATGAAAGTAGAGTAACGAAAGAAGTATACTAAGCGGATATGAATGGGGCCGTCGGTAGAGGGCGCCCTAGACGGACATATAGTGACCAGATTGTGGCGATATATTAAAGAAGGACCAAATTAAAAGTACCCTTAACCGACGAGCATGCATGAAAAGATTGATGACTGTTGATGAAGCGAAAGAGGTATGTAGGAATCGTAGCAATTGGCGTTCCCTAGTCTCTGCCTACCTCCATGGGAGACAGGCGTGAGGTTATGTATGTATGTATGAAATTTAACAGTATTTTAAAATAAACGATGATGATGATTATGATGTGGGTGACAAAGTACGTAATATAATAATTACCGCACGTACCGGAGTGTCCCGGCGAGGTGGAGTCTGGCGGTCGCACCCTGATCTCCAGCCTGCTGGAGACAGTTGGACCCTCGGCTTCAGGAGCTGGCTTTGGGGGGACAGCGCTGCTTGATGAACTGGATAGACTCTGTGGATGAAGATGATAAGTAGATTTCATTACTAGAACTGTATCAGGATCGTTGGTAGAAAAAATGGCTACACTATAATCGACTTTTAAAAAGAAGAAGGTTCTCATTTTGACTTGTGTGAAATTGTATATTTAACATAACATAACATCACGCCTTTTATCCCCGAAGGGATAGGCAGAGGTGCACATTACGGCACTTAATGCCACACTGTACACCCACTTTTTAACCGACTTCCTAAAGAGGAGGTTATCAATTCGGCTGTATGCTTTTTTCTCTCTCTTTTTTTTGTGTATGTTGCTTGATTACTCCGGCGTTTGTAAACGGATTTTGATGATTCTTTTTTTTGTTGGTAAGGTCATATTCTCGGGGTGGTCCCATTTATGTTATGAGTCCCATGTAATAGGGGATGAGCCTATTCCCATATACCGGGCACATTTCCAGACTCCGTTCTACTACTGACGTTTTTACAAACCCAGTAATACTTTGCCCGTCTCGGGAATCGAACCCGAAACCCCTTGTCGCAGTCGCACTTGCGACCACCCGGCCAACGTTATGTTATGTTGTGAAAAAAATAGTTAGGCGATACGACGTTTGGAGGGTCAGGGAGTAAAGTAATAGAATGAGTGTTACGGGGGCGCTGAGCGCGCGCGGCGGCGGCGGCGCGTCGGGCGCGCGCAGGTCCCGCGCCGCCACGCCGCGCATGACGTCGAGGCGGTACCGCACCGACCCCGCGCTGCCGTCGAACGACGCCTGCTGCAGCAGCGGCGCGCGCAGCGAGCGGACGCGGCACCCTGCCCCGACACGGTCAACGTATTATTAGATCCAATCGGGGCTACTGTATTTTTCCTCAATAGATGGCGCTACTTTGAACCTCTCACTTTTTAAGTAAAACCGCGGGTGACTCACGTGAATATACTGAGTAAAGCTCTACTAGTTTCGAACCACAGAGGGGTTCTTCCTCATGAACAGCGTGCGCGGTCGCGGCGACGTCGCGCAGCTCTCTGTGGTTCGAATCTAGTAGAACTTTTCTCAGTATATTCACGTGAGTAACCCGCGTTTTTACTTAATTTAATATGTCTCTAATTTCTTGTTCAACAGGGAACTAGCTAGTGTTACACCATAGAATCAAATATAGAAAGGTTATATTTGACAGCTGCAGTGAATATGAGCTTTTAGCACAGCATGAAACTAGTCGAGTTCCTCGTCAAATAATTACGTGGGTAAACCGAACAACATAATGATTAATTTAGTATGTCTGTCTCATGAAACTTAAGCTAAAAAAACCTTTTGGCTACATTCGCGCACTCTACTGACAAAAAAAAAACCGGTAGCCCCCCATCAGAGTACCTTGGGAGTGTTTGTTTCATGTTAATGCAGTGATCGACACCTTTATGATGTTCAGCGCTCTGTTTGACAAACGCTGAAATACTGTCACTCAATTTTAAGTCGCGCTTAACTCGTCGAGTACCGTCATTATAGACACAATTATAGAACAATAGGTTGCGGTCACCGGTGACCGCTTGGTGTTGACAGTTTAAATACAGTTCTGTCTCTACACATTCTTTGTAAAATGACATCGACCGCACGATATTTAACTACAACTTAAAATTGAGTAGCCTTTCAGTATTCGAGCGTTAATCGACTAATAAGACAACTAGACGCGATAACATATCGATCGCGTTAACATAAGAATATATTGCAATTAGCAACTCTAATCAAACAGACATAGCTATATGAGTGTGTTCAAGGCCCGAGTGAATAGGTTGCTTATAGGCAAATGTTCTCCAGACCGCATCATCGCTTACCGCCAGGCGAGACAGTGGACAGACGTCGGACAACAAATATAAGGTGTAACAAAAATAGTGCACAATATTTTAGTAGGTCAATTAGTATGTGTTAAACATCATTTTTTATGAAAATATTGTATAAAAACTTATCAATTATTTTTAATAATTCAATTATTCATTTATTATTTTCATTGCTTTTTATGCCATCCTGCAATATGTTCCTATTCCTATGTACCCATTCGAAAAGCTCGGTCGTTGACCCGTAAGATAAACGTCCGCGCGCATCCATACGGCTGGCGTTATGCGTAAAAACACAACAACAATTTTGCAAATGTGATGCTAAATTTAATTAAACATGTTGTTGTTTACATTTTTTTTAGGTAAACATAATCCTTATCATGTACTATATCACCTGTTAAAATATTGTGCACTATTTTTGTTAGACCTTATATAAAAAAGAAATCGTACATTCAAGTTTAACAGTCTTGATATTTGAGACTGCATCTTTTGACATCGCGGCATGTGTGATATTCCGTATAACAATGGTAGCTATAGTATAATAATGAGTAAAATCTAAAAACACTCTACAGTAATCAACATCGAAACTAGTTGATTATCTTCTGTCCTTTGCTTTAAAAAAGTATGTCTTTCTTCTTATATTCTACATCATTCACACACTCTTTTTATGTCTATTCCTAAGCACAAATCTCCATCATCTTTACTCAGTAATAAAAACTACTTTTTTCAAAAAATGCTTACCAATAGCAGGCAATGACCAGCATCTAGGTAAACTGGGCTGCAACTTCGGATAAGCATCGATTCCCGGTATATAAAGACAATGTACTTTCTTCCGATTTTCCGTAGGACGCCGCGAAGGTTCGCTGTTTTGTCTGGTGGGCTCCGGGGGACGATTTTGAGGGGGTGCTGGGGGTGCCGGCGCTATTGGGGCTGGGGGTACCACGGGGCCGGGAGGTGAGGTCTTCTCTGGTTGTTGGGCGGCCTGTAACAATGTTTTAAATATTTTAAAGAAGGCTTTGAATGGTGTCTTGATATAAGGTTCGAGTGTATTGTTAAAAAGATCTGTCCGATCCGTAAAGGGTTATATTTTGTCAACATATAATATGACAAGTAATAACAATATTTTCCTGATCTAAGTTGTACGACTTTCTAATTTGAATGCACGGTTGGTGTGGTGGCTGGGCAACCGGCTGCCGTGCAACGTGTCGCGGGTTGGATTCCCGCACGGAACAACACTTTGTGTGATCCACAAATTGTTGTTCCGGGTCTAGGTGTCATGTGTATGTGAACTTGTATGTTTGTAAAACGCACCCACGACACAGGAGAAAATCCTAAAGTGGGGCAACTTTTTTTCTTTTTAAAAAATTACTGTTACTCGACAAGTTTCAAGCAACGTTTGGGATGCATAATCATGAGCAATATGCTACAATAAACGTAGCGAGCGTTGTATATGCTATTGCTTGCGGCTACATGAATATGGGCCTCTGTAGTCGCCAGACAGACAGAGACAATTATTCCTGTAAGTTGCCATTTGTAATATCTTTACGGTTCAGATAGACTTTTTTAGTAAATCCTATATCATAAAATTTGTAAGTTAACCAGCTCCAATCACGCTAACCTCCAATATAATATAAGAATATGTATATATATCCCCTTGATATAAAATTGGTCAAATAACACCGTATACACGCGTGCAACACCGTGAATTATTAGATAATGTCTGAAATGAATGTATAGATATAAAGAATGGATGAAGTACAATTATGTTAAAAGCAAAAATGGCTATTGGAGCGAATGTAGTGTAGAGTAATCAAATGTAGTGTAGTATCTGTGTAGTTTATTGGAGTAGAGTATAACATAACATTATACCATACTTTTTATCCCCAAAGGGGTAGGCAGAGGTGCACATTACGACACGTACAATGTAACACCCACTTTTCACTATTTATGTTAGGAGTCCCATGGAGCCGTTCAAATATTACGTAAGCAGAGATTTTACAATTATCTACCCCCTCATCCCCCTCAGCAAAAGTAAGCAAAGATATTACCCCCTCCCCCTTTACTTACGTAAACATTTTAAATTATATTTTTTTTATATATATTGTAATTTTAATATTCTCTTAGATACCATAATGTCTAGTTCTTTGTCGGTCTTTGCTTGTAATTATAATTTCCATATGAGGGTTGTCATTCGTGTAAAAAAGTAAATAACTACCGACGACGAATCATCATCTAAACTCACACATATCCAAAATAAGCAAAACAGAGGCCCCCCCACCCCCCTCCGTAAGCACCATACTTGAACCCCATGTAAGACATATACCGGGTACAATACCAGACTCCGTGCTACTACTGAGAATTATTTTAAAATATCCAGTAATACTTTTCTCGACCCAGGAATCGAACCCTTGCCCGGCAGTCGAACTTGCGACCACTCTGCCAACGAGGCAGTGGAGTACAGTATACTGAGGTTTGTTTTACGTTAAAAGTATTCGAAACGAGACTGCTTTCGCCGCTCCGATTGGTTAGTTCATTGGCGCCGGCCAATCAGAGCGCCGAACACGTACTCGTCTCGATTACTTGAAAAGTGAAATAAACTTGTACTAAGGCCTCTGTAGTCTAATGTAGTATAGTTGAATTGAAAGCGTAGAGTAATCGAGCGTAGTAGCTTCGATCATACCAATGCAGTGTAAGCGAGGGAACGGTATTCGAGTGTGGAGGACTCGATTGCAGTCCATGTGGAGTCGTGTATAGAGGTGTAGAGGAATCAAATGTAGATAAGTCGAGTGCAGTGTGTAGAGCAATGGCGTCGATTGTAGTGTAGTGGAGCCGAATGGAGTGTAGTATAATTCGATGTAGTGTACGCGAGAAATGAGAATTCGAGTGCAGAGGAGTCGATTGTAGTCTATGTGGAGTCGTGTATAGAGGTGTAGAGGAATCAAATGTAGCTGAGATGAGTGTAGTGTGTAGAGTAATAGCGTCGATTGTAGTGTAGTGGAGCCGAATGGAGTGTAGTATAGTGGATTCGATGTAGTGTACGCGAGAAATGAGAATTCGAGTGCAGAGGAGTCGATTGTAGTCCAAGTGGAGTCGTGTATAGACGTGTAGAGGAATCAAATGTAGATGAGGAGAGTGTAGTGTGTAAAGTAGTAGCGTCGATTCAATTGTAGTGTAGTGGAGCCGAATGGAGTTTAGTATAGTGGATTCGATATAGTGTACACGATAAATGAGAGTTGGAGTGTAGAGGAGTTGATTGTAGTCCAAGTGGAGTCGTGTATAGAGGTGTAGAGGAATCAAATGTAGATGAGACGAGTGTAGTGTGTAAAATAGTAGCGTCGATTGTAGTGTTCGCAAGGGATGAGTATTTCAGTGTAGTGGAGTCGATTGTACTCCAACGCGGTTATTATGATGTTCTAAAGTCAGAATGGTTTCGTTGAGGGAAAGAAACAGAGCTATACAAGTCGTCTAACGAGATCTCGTTTCCTCAGCTTTGGTTTTAAGACGTCATAATACGCTACCTGGTCGCGTCGTGTATAGAGATGTAGAAGAATGAAATGTAGATAAGTCGAGTGGGATGTAGACATGCGTGGGTGGATGGTGGGTGTATGATACCTGGTGCACGAGCAGATGCTGCACGGTGTGTTGTGTGGAGTGCGTGCTGGGCTGCGTGGGCTGTCGGTGCGAGCACGACGACACGCCCGACGTGCGCGCGCGCTCCGGGGACTGCGGACACGCCGCGGACTCACTCAACTACACTCGCTACACACTACTCACTATGCTAATTTACTTAACTCTACAGAGGATGCGCCTTTTTGCATACAATGAAACAAGACCATCGGAGAAGCGTCACCGATTCATGGTAGATGTCCCACCTACGCTCTTCGCATCAAGCTTCCTTGTGCGTACTGCTAAAGAATGGAATTCTTTGCCAGAGTCTGTATTTCCTGAAGGGTTATATAACCTGGTTGTCTTCAAGGCCCGAGTGAATAGGTTGCTTATGGAACGACGTGCTCCATCGTAGACCGCATCATCACTTACCACCAGGCGAGATAGTGGACAAACAAACGTCGGCCCATCAAATATATAAAAAATATGGCCAATTTGCCCCCCAGAGAAACTTTATGCAACAAACTTCTTCTCAACTGGTCCCTAGCGCTCTTACAGCACCAAATCTTTCGACATGACCTGCTAGGCTATTACTAAGATGTCAAATCTAATTCTCTCGAAGTGACCTCGATCCCGGTCCGCCATATCATTGAGTGTTAGAATAATGTCAACCAATAACGGGTGAGAAAATAGCGGAGTTCGAATTGACACCGTACAGATTAGCTTAGCTGAGGCAGGCACTAAAAAGTGCAAGACTATCGGGTAGTTGATTTGAAAGTAATTAACGCTCAAACAAGATGCTCATGGCGCACCCACTCTAGGCTTGACTACTGACTAGACTCTAAGGAAGTATTAAGCCCTGGCCGGAGATGCGGTTAAAGCCGCTATAAGTTGCCACGGCTCCGGCTCTATGCAGGAGTAGGAACATAGTGGTGTTTAGTCAGTAAGAGTCTGACACTCTCTCTTGCCTCACCCAATGTGGGAAGGAGTTATTTGATGATTATCGCCACTAGAAAAAACTCTTGTGTAATGAAGATACCTTAATGGTAGAATACTTTAGTTGCTTTAGACAAAGTCTAAAATCCTACTGCAAACATCGGTCTAATCTTCTATGACTTTTCCTACTAAAATGACAAATTACAACTAATCTAAGGGCGGGTAAAAGCTAAAAACCTTCTTCGAACAAAGAGCTACCCATCTACATGTCTAATCAAGTTTGCCCACTCGTGGGAGACGATGATACTATTACTATTCCCCAACTAAACGTAGTGGACAGATTAGTTTCTTTTTGATACAATTTATCCAGGTGGGCAAACGCAAACTACCTGCTATCATTCTTTATCTTCTTCTACATTTCTAAACAGGTTTGCCCACTAGTGCGATAAGTATAATTCTAATCTATGGCTATTCTCTATCTAAAAAGTACCGAACCTATATTTCTTTCTTACCATTTGTCCAGGGGTGGGCAAATCGTAAAAAAATGCTACAAATATCAAACTAGCTTCCTACACGTCTAAACAAGTTTGCCCACCCCTCGGACACGTATAGTTCTATATTCTTGTCTATGGCTCACCTGTAACTGTTCCTGTTTCCATTCGTTGTCTGTGGTCTCCTCAGAGTCGTCGAATTGAGACTTCCATAGAGATACTAGTGTTAGGGCTCCACCTTTTGTGACCTGTGGACAAGAGTATTATACATTTTAGAATAATTTATTGTTATCGTAATTATTATCCTTACTTAATATTATAAATCGGAAAGTGAGTTTGTTTGTTTGTTCCGCTTTCACGCCGTAACCACAAAACCGATTGCTTTGAATTTTTGCAGACGTAAAATTAGAAGTCCGTATTAAATAATAGGGTACTTTTTATCCCGGAAAAATGTGACATTCCCGAGGGAAAACAAAAGTATTGGTATAGATGGCGCTGTGTGTATTGGTATATGTCACATAGGCTACTTTATATCCTTTTGTGACGCGAGCGAAGCCGCGGGTAAAAGCTAGTATTTGGATAATTAGTAGATAATTGTGATTAGCAAAAGAGTAGTAGACCATTATACAGATGTCCACCTAATTATACATTTATTTAAGGTGTAAATATTTTAGTTAGTTATTTTTATTTATAACATTAATTTTAGTGTAGTTATCTATACTAATATTCTAAAGCTGAAGAGATTGTTTTGTTTGTTTGTTTGAAAGCGCTAATCTCCGTAACCACTGGTCCGATTTGAAAAAATCTTCCAGTGTTGGATAGCCCATTTATCGCGGACGGCTATAGGCTATAAAATATCACGCTACGAATAATAGGCGCCAAGCAAAGTGAGTGAAACCGCGCGGCAGTAGCTAGTATAGGCATATTTATAATGTAAATATTTAAATTATGTATTTTATACAGGGTGTCCCCGAAGTCGACGATCAAATGGCACCAGGTTCCAACAATTATTAGAGAAATATTAAAAAAAATCAAGTCAGTTAGTTTTTAAATTACAATGACTTATGTGTCATCCTCGAAAAATTACACCCTGTTCCAGTCTTTTGACTCTTATTGCTACAATTCTCTATTTTTTCGTCTGTAATTTTGCTTACGTTATCCTGAATAGGGCTGCAATGTTATTGAATAATAAATTCTGAGCCAACTGCTTTAGTTTAGATAAGAATATAATTTTCTGATGAACCAAGAATCCCCCATAAAAATATCGCCCAGCAAAATTTAAGCTCTAACAAATTGTCTGAAACAGAGTTTTGTTTTTTTTTTTGTTATCTTTATTTAATTACAGGATTTTTTCTTAAAAAAAACGATCCTCCGATTAGTTTTGTTGTAAAACATTTGTTTGTGAAGAATTTAAGAAATAATGTAGTAAGTGACGTACCAATTTAGAATCTCTATTAAATGCGTCAACTTTGGTGAAATTTGCAACTACTACCGCAGTACAATTTTTTTTCAGTACACTCACTTGAACTAGGATAACAATTTATCTCAGTATATTCACGTGAGTAACCCGCGATTTTTAGTTTATTTAGTTTTTTATTTTTATTTTAGGTTTGTGTACTTGGTGCATCATGCCTAATGGTAAACAAATTATTTATCTTTCTTTGTCTTCCTTTCTTCTTGTAATTTTGCATACATATAGAGTTGGGAGTACTGAGAAGGGCATTGACATAGACATGTCTAAAAGCTATAAATAAATAATAATAATTTACCTGTTGCAAAGCGGACACATTCTCGTCGTCCATGACGGCGAACTGCGTGTAGCTCTGGTCGGCGCGGGCGCGGGCTGTACGACGCGCTCCTACCGACAAACAAACATACATAAATACACTTACAACTATAGTACCTAACACAAAAGTTATCATGTGGTAAAGACAAGATGATTAGTAGTAGACATAACATCACATAACATAACATCATGCCTTTTATCCCCGAAGGAGTAGGCAGAGTTGCACACAGAAGTAACACCCAGTTTTCTTTCGAAGTCACACTTCACGCTAAGTAACGCTTAGTTAGGGTTATTGTTCTAATATGTCCATAGATCCTTACTAATATTATAAATCGGAAAGTGAGTTTGTTTGTTTGTTCCGCTTTCACGCCGTAACTACTAAACCGATTGCTTTGAATTTTTGCAGACGTAAAGTTAGAAGTCCGGATTAAATAATAGGGTACTTTTTATCCCGGAAAAATGTGACATTCCCGAGGGAAAACAAAAGTATTGGTATAGATGGCGCTGTGTGTATTGGTATATATCACAAGCTACTTTTTATTCTTTTGTGACGCGAGCGAAGCCACGGGTAAAAGCTAGTAACTAAATAAATAAAGTTAAAGTTCAACAAGTAACGTCATCTAGATAAAAGTTTGTACTGTGCCTGTTACTCTGTAAAAAAATATAATTTAGTCTGTTTTCCACTACTATCCGTGCGTTTTATTTCATACTAGCAGCCCGTCCCGGCTTCGCAGGGGGTAGACAATTATTTGTTTTTGGAAATTTGGATTGTTGTAGTGACATAACTACAATAGTTGGACATATGCTACCGCGGAGTTTTTTGTAGACATTATGATGTTCTTCAATATTGTTGTACATTATTTTGTTCTATCGCTAATAGTTTCGGCAGCGCATTCGACGAGACATTTTAAGACTCATTTTTCTACACCTTCGGTTACATCGTTCAAATTTTACCAAGGATCCCTAATTTTTTTCAAAACGAAATGTAGCCTATGTGTAATCGGAAGAATGTAGCATTCTATTGGTGAAAGAATTTTTTAAATCGGTCCAATACTTTTTGAGCCTATTCATTACAAACATACAAAAATAGGTACAAATCTTTCCTCTTTATAATATTAGTATAGATATAGTTGGGTAAAACGGTTTCAAGACACTTACCCAGCATCTTAGCTAACCAATGTGTATTTAAACACGACACACCACTTTTAAGAACAAACTACGAACTATTCTTTTATTATATTTTTAAAACAGCTATAGGTGAAATGAACTAAGCTAATGACTTGTTGTATTTTTAAACCCCATCTAATTAGGAACGAGGTCAAATTCTTGTGTATTATGTGAATATTTCGAAATGACACGGTCAAGTGCGTGTTTGTATCGTGGTATGGTGGGTTCTGTATGTTCATATTTTATACTCATAAGATATAATTTTTGATATATGTAGATGTATGCTTACAATTTTTTTCTATGTGTGCAATAAAGTATAAATAAATAAATAAATGTATTGCTTCACATTGAATGGAAAGTATTTTAATCAGTTTTTTCATGTATCGAGGGAGTCAGTAAACTTATCAATACTTTGCCTAACCTGGGAATCAAACGCGACACTTCGTGCTTGGTAGATACTTGCAACCACTCGAGATTATAAATCATTTCTATTATAGAAAAATTTTGTATAATAGATAGTGGATCACTACAGCTAGACAAAATTAGTTTTACTAATTAATGTGAAGAACAGGAATTGCTTGTTCATACCGACTTTATTTATATTTGCTTACAACTTATTCTTACATGCACATATCTTATACAGGGCCGGCTCGACCGGAGTGATACCATCAACGAGCTGGACTCCATAGTGACACATTACTTGCGTTGTGATTCGTCGTGTGAGTGAGGTTATCGACCGCCCAATTCTCTTCAACAACAACCCCGAATCCCCAACAATCTTCAAACTCCCAATCCCCAGCTGGTAACGCACTTGTAACACCTCCGGTGTTCCAGGTGTCCATGGGCGACGCCGATTGCTTACCATCAGGTGATGCGTCTGCTCGTTTACTGGCTTATGCCATAAAAAAACTCGTACTTATGCCTCAGGCTTTTGATGATGAAGAGAAAACGAGTAGAGATATGCTCACCTCTCTTGAAATGTGTGTCTGAGTGTACACTGTCCACGTCAGCTGCTATTATCCTAGGACTTACAGCTTCACCTGCAGATAAAAAGGAAGTAATTAACTTGCTTGCATTTATTAAATTAAATTTTAATCGAGTACTTGCCAACTAGTTACATTCAACACTTTTTTCGAACTGTCAAAAACGAGACTATTCTATGAATTTTGTACGAGATTGTGTATTGTGACGTCACGTTTTTTTAGCGTCAAACAGCGTACTTATTTCTTAAAAATTTGTCGGAGAAATACTAAAATGAAGTTGGTCAAAAAATCAATGAATGAAAGTGTGATTGTTTTTTAATATTTTATTGTATTGAACAGTCGAAATAATTTATTTTTGATTAACCCGTTGATATCCATCCCCTAAATTTGGTCATACAAAAGTATTCTCTAAACATTAGAAATAAGGTCTATAATGTAATGTAATATTAGTGGAAAGCTGTCACCGGTGACCGCTTGGGGATTTATGGATTAAGGAAAGTATTCAATTGCATGTCTTGGTTGCTGGTACAAGGTGCACTGTGCATTCATCTAACATTTTGCAACGCATCTGAAAGGGCTGTATGCTCTCGTACATATGTATGATGTTGTATGTAGTTGGGTGTTTCATCAAAAAACTTTAACTTTTATTTAACAAATCATTATCCTCCCGCGTTGTTAAGCATAGCAGGTAATTTATTAGCATCTGTTTTTTATTGCATTGGGTGAGAGCAGTGACATGGCTCAATTTTTTGAAACTAAACTTTGTATTTCAATCAGCAAAATTGTTAACTGTGGCTTGAGGATAATGACGCCGTTAATTTTTTGGTTTTTTTTTTTGGAGAATCACCCAGTTGTTGTATGGTTTCGGTATGATCCCGATGTCGGTTCAGGGAATAGTGGAAATGTAAACACCACCGACACAATTGAGCGATTTAATAACACTAAAAATTATACAAATCATCTTAGATACAAAGGTCTTCACAGTATAGACGAAGTGTGTCACAGTGTCAGCAATATATAATTAGGTGCGAATGTTACAATTATTAAAAATTTCTTAAAGAATGTACGATGACCCGTACAGCATCTAAATGTACTGTGTTCAGCAATAAAGACATTTGAAAGTGATATCTACATAACATAACATCACGCCTTTTATCCCCGAAGGGGTAGGCAGAGGTGTACATTATGCCACTGTACAATGTAACACCCACTTTTCACTATTTATGTTATGAGTCCCATGTAATAGGGGGTGAGCCTATTGCCATATACCGGGCACATTTCCAGATTCCGTGCTACTACTGGGATTTTTTTTTAAAAAACCCAGTAATTCTGTGCCCGACCCGGGAATCGAACCGGCAGTGATATCTTTAGTAGATTATTATAAAGTTACAATGGCGATAATAACTTTATCGTATGTGTAACTGTATAATCATTACTCAGTCTTCAAGCGGTTACTGGTGACCGCTCCCTACTTACACCATTATAGACCTTATTTCCGATGTTTAGAGACTACTTTTTTATGAAACTATTACTGGGTTTTTAAAAGAAATCTCAGTAGTAGTACGGAGTCTAGAATTGTGCCCGGTATATGGCAATAGGCTCACCCCCTATTACATGGGACTCATAACATTAATAGTGTAAAATGGATGTTACCTCTGTGTGCACCTCTGCCTACCCCTTCGGGAATTAAAAGCGTGATGTTATGTTACTTTTTTATGAACAAATGTTATGGATTTTGTTACATATATGTTTAGTCGGTATCATCACTAATTAGTAAGTAGTGGCCCCCTCACTATAATGTGTTGTATAAGGTAGAACACTTGTTATCAACGTCGCTGTCTACCCGCCATAGTCTAATGTGTATACACGTCGTGCCCTGCACATTATTGTAATAAACCCAAGTAAAATAAATCCGACTATAATTCATTAATCCACCAACATAACAGATTTTTCATAATTGGGGATCAATAGGTTAGTTTAATTTTTTTAGTTACATTTTAACAGTGGCGTAACTATATACTAATCGAAATTCGTAGCAAATTCATCAGATGGCAAAGACCTATAACCGACTCTGGACGGAGGACCCTTTTGGCTAGGGGCCCGTGGGATTTTCCCGACTTCCCATCCCGTAGTTACGCCACTGCATTTCAGCAGTATACATACCCGGAGTAGCAGGTGACGCCGCAGCGAGTTCTTGTACACAAGTAGGCGGCGCCGTCACCACGCGGAGACGGGCCAGGGTTGGACCTCCACCTGGACAAAGTCAAAGCATTTATTTATTTCTATTAATCCTTCACCTTCATTAGGTAAGCTTTTAAAAATTTGAACATCATATACGTGTCATGTTCGTGAACGGGCGCCGTCAACTGGGACTAGTCAGCTCCAGACTGTATTATTTTATTGTCAAACTCAAAAGCATTTATTTCAATTAAACCATAATTTGGTACTTTTGAAACGTCAACAAATATTAAATATACAATAGTCTGTCAGTCTGTCCGTCAGTGAAGCTAGGCGCTCGTTCCAAAATGTCGATTCGAGTGGAGAAGAACGAGCAAGAACCTCCATTCGTTACTCTTTTAAAAAAAAGTCTGTTTTACATTGCTCTGATACATATTCCAATATTGTACACACATGTGAGAATAATGTAAAGAATAATGTAAGAAATGTCCTCAAGGTTATTTTCTTTTTCAATCTCTTTGACTGTATTTTAGTGTTACATTGTTCTCACACAATCGAATCAATAAAACTATGTAACTAGAGAATTCTATTGTGAACCTGATTGAAAAAGAGTAACCTATGGAGTTTCTTGCTCGTTCTTCTACATAGGAATCTACACCTTGGCATGAGCAAATAGCTTCACTTCTAAATTCTTGTTGTTGACGTTCAAAAGTGCCTTCCTGGTCTAGTATTCAAGTATATATTGCATGCATAATATATACATATGCAGGTGGTTAGAAATTGTTCTCATTGAAATAAATATTTTTGACTTTGACTTACATTCTATTTAATCAAATCGTATAGCTGTTAGTTTTCCAAATGTATAAATCAATAAATAACAAACGGTTTTCTGACAACCACATCAAATCGATTAAGCCTCGAGATAAACGCGCACAAACACATACAGGTTAAACTGAGAACTTCTTATATTTCCTTTTTGAAGTCGGTTTAATAGAAAAGCCGCAAGGAGCTTCGTTTCTTTGCTCCCCAAATGTAGATTCACAGACTGACAAACTGTCTTAACCTCTCGCGTGTTTCTCGTACACACGGGTGTACGAGAGTGACTTGCACCGATTGGAAACTTTTTCTGTGACGTATATTTTCAAGTGACAAACGGTGAAGGAAAAACATCGTGAGGAAACCTGGACTTATAATTTCTAATTATAAGTTTGAAATCGCCAACCCGCATTGAGCAAGGGTGGTGATTAATGCTCAAACCTTCTCCGTGTGAGAAGAGGCTTTGCTCAGCAGTGGGCATTAATAGGCTGTTGATGATGATGATTTTTTATTTACCCTTACCCTTTATTTACTTGATTGAACAGAATAGTTAATTTGCTTCTCTATTAAAATATTTACCCATGTGTACGAGAGGCGCGCGAGAGGTTAAATATGCAATCGTAAAGAAAATGAGAGGTGTCACTTATTGACAACACAGTTGGCGCGGTGCCTGGGCAACTGGCTCCCGCGCAATGTGTCGCGGGTTCGATTCCCGCACGGAGCAACTGTATGTGTGATCCACAGATTGTAGTTCCGTGTCTGTGTGTGTATGTGAACTTGTATGGTTGTACACGTACACACGACATTGGAGATAATACTAGTGTGGGGCAACGTTTTATTTAAAAAAAAGCCCTCACCTGGAGCCGGAGGTCTAGGTTTACAAGGCGGCACGCTCTGTCGCTCGGGCCGGGTCGTCGTGCCCGTCACTGCAGACGTACTCGTCTCTTGTTGCTGGGGACGATATACCCACGTTACATACACATATACATACGGACATTACTCATTAATATTACGGCTTACTTTTCTGTAAATGTTCGAGGACTGTTCGACTAATTTCGAGCTATGACTGGAGCTCAAACTCAATTATAGAAAGTAAGTCAATGCAGTGTAAAAAATATATTTACGAGTAATATGTTAAGCGTCGTGATAGTCCGTCGTTTTTTATGATTACGGTGTCGACACAGAATGTCGCGCTGCTACTCACGTCGCGGGTCGCGAAATGCTGCTCATGAATATGAGCCTCTAGCATGGCTTGAAACTAGTCGAGTTCCTCGTCAAATAATTACGTGAGTAAGCCGAAAACATAATAATATATTTAGTTTGTCTCACGAAAATTATAATATAAATAATAAGACAATACTACTTAAATATATTATATTTCAGTATAACAATTTACCTTGGCATGTCTATCGGGAGAGGGCGCTGGTGTAGTTCTAGGTTCCGCCTCCTTGTCCGTTGTCGTGGGCTTGTCAGTCGTCGACTGTTGACGAAAATCATAATTTTAATTACATATTTTATTAAAATTCGCGCAATGATGTGACGTGTGTCGTGTGGTGATGGCAGAGTAGACCACATTTCTCACCACCGCTATTTTGCACGCGGGTGTCGTATACCTAACGTGACCATACGTCCCGCTTTGGGCGGGACTGTCCCACTTTCAGACTGTCTGTCCCGCTGTCCCCCGCAAGAGCAGAAATGTCCCGTTTTAGCTTTAAGAATGCATCTATCGTTTTTAAATGTATGTATATCTGTTAAAAAACCGCATCAAAATCCGTTGCGTAGTTTTAAAGATCTAAGCATACATAGGGACAGACAGACGGCGGATAGCGACTTTGTTTTATACTATGTAGTGATTCCGCAGGTTTTTTTTAGAACTATTCCGCAGTTGTTCCGCTCTGGCACAGAAAATAAATGGTCACGTTATGTATACCCGACTAAGACACTACACATTAGACAGAGACCGGGCAGCAGCGCTCTCTGATAAACCTGAACCTTTTATACTGCGATCTCCAACCCGCCTGCCTGCGGAGATTATGACAAACCCCTCTTATGTAGAGGAGGCTCAAAGTGCAGCAGTGGACTGCCACAGATCGTTGAAGATTATAATATAATCTCTATGCAACTTGGAAAGTGCACTCTTATTTTATTTTCAAGAATATACTTGCAAAAATGTAGATTATTTTGTGGTATTACTTGATTTACTTACATATCCGTTGAGATGGTGCGGCTGGTGGCGCGGCGAGGCGGGGTGCGGCCGCTTGTCGGGCAGCTTGTCCTTGTGGGCGGCGCCGGCCTCCGTCGTCACCGCCGTCGTGGCCTCGGGCTCCACGCGGCGCCGCGGCTGGCGGAGGAAGAGATATTCATACACATAAAACAATATAACATCGCGCCTTTTATCACCGAAGGGGTAGACAGAGATGCACTGTACAATGTAACACCCACTTTTCATTATTTTTGTTATGAGTCCCATGTAACATTCCCGGACTCCGTGCTATTAAGATTTTTTTAAAACCCAGTAATACTTTGCCTGATCCGGGAATCGAACCCGAGACCCCTTGCCCGGTAGTCGCATTTTGCGACCACTTGGCCACCGAGGCAAAATTAGAGGATAAATTTTTTTTATGAAAATTCTCCCCGTCTGGCCACAACCAGACCCCACCGTACGGCGCGTCGCGATCCGCGCGCGCCTCAAAGAGCCATCAGACCACCACAGATGGGGCCCAATACGACCGATGTCGCGGAGAACCTAACGGGTAACCGGGGCTCCGACTCGACGTGCAGGAGAAGGAACGGGGTGGTTTTTAGTCAGTAAGAGTCTGACACTCCCTGCCGCCTCACCCAGGCGGGAGCAGTTATTCGGTGACCCCCCCCCTTAAAAAACGAAGTGTACTCACGCCGTCGAGCGGTGCGTCGTGCGGCGCGGCGTGGTCGGGCGCCGCGTGCACCGCCGCGCGGGTGCGCGACACCGACACCGCCTGCACGCATATATATATACCTATACTCATGTATACATACAATATTATTGTAAGAAAGTCAAAACTGTACATTGGATATTTTTCTAAAAAAAATGCTCGGAGCGTGGTCTACATCGATACCGAAGCCAAAAATATTATGGTTTTTAGAATTTTTGTCTCTATATCTGTATGTATGTCCGGGATGAACTCATTAACTGCTGCACGGATTTACCTCAAATTTCGCATGATTATTACTAACAGGTCGGGTCAACATATAGGCTACATATTATCACGCTATCACTGTGCCGAGAAATGCAAGCTCAATAGATTATTATGCAAGCTCAATAGACAAGTTCAGGATAAATAACGTTTAATTTTTTATCTAATATTCTAATCTATCAAATAAAAACAGACGATGCACAATATTCCAAAAACAAACAAAAAAAAATCAACATAAATTTGGACATCACATCACATTTTATGAATCTATATCTAACCACAAATGAAATCCAATTTACATAACCACAATCTGTGAGTGGTTGCGCAAACGATCGTACCACTTGCGCAAAAAATGCGACATTTGCGCAAATTGAAACTTTATACACATTTAATTATTGAACATTTATATGTTTTATACATTAACACAGATGTATAAGTTACTGATTTATCTCACCTATTCATAATTGGAAAGTTGTTGTTTAGAACAAATATGCCTGGAAGTTATACATTTTTTGTTTTATATACTAGAAAAGAAAACAGAGGAAGTAATTCATTGTAGAGCACTATGTTTCACCAGTTATATAAGGGATGAGCCTATGACTAACCTTACCAGGCTATAGGCCAGCTAAATAAAATAATTATAAAATAACATCACGCCTTTTATCCCCGACGGGGTAGGCAGAGGTGCACATTATGCCATTGTACAATGTAACACCCACTTTTTACTATTTATGTTATGAGTCCCATGTAATAGGGAGTGAGCCTATTGCCATATATCAAACACAATTCTAGACTCCGTGCTACTACTGAGATTTTGTGAAAAAGCCCAGTCATACTTTGCCCTACCCGGGAATCGAACCCGAGACCCCTTGCCCGGCAGTCGCACTTCCGACCACTCGGCCAACGAAGCAGTAATGGTCAGTAAATTGCAAATTCCATTAGACTACATGACCATGGCTATAGGTCAGCTAAATAAAATAGTTGTAAAATAAAATTCCAAAAAAAAGCTACTTACATCTTTCTCCCAATCATAAGGGTCAGTATCCCGTATCCCGCGCCGTTTGCAGCACCGTTCTAACAGAGACGTCAACATGGCGTAGTCTGGCGAGTCGGCGTACTCTAACTGTTGGACATGTTCTAAGAACTGGCGTAATTCTGACGGTAGGTGCTTCAGGAGGAGACGGTGGTCGTACTTTTCTTTCATAAGACCGACCTGGGGATGTTGAAATGTTAAATTTTAGTGTGGTTTTTGACAGATTTATAAATCAAAGTTAAAGAAAAGCAACACTTTTCAGTCTAGGCGACTGAAATTACACATTTTTTTAGACTTGTGTTACTGGTGGTACAAACATTTGGACATATGTACATATCACACCAGAACAACTAATAGATATTATAAATCAAAATATATAAGAGTGCTTGGGTGCGGGAATCGAATCCATAATATGTTTTGCAATAACTGGTTGTCCAAACAGAGAGTCAATCGTGCAGGCAAATCCTACCGATATCTACTTACTTACATTTAGTCTACTCACATACTTCAACACGGTCTACTAAGTCGGTTTATTAAATTTTTGTCGTCTACTTGGTTTTTTATAGTACTTACGAGAGATATAATATAATAATAACTACAATTTCCACATGGTCTACTGCAGTCTACTCTTGGGTCTTCTCGGTCTACTGGTCTACTAACCTGTTCTTTATCTTTGATTTTTCTCCAAGGCAGTTGTCCATTGACAAATTCTACGAGCATATAGAACAATGACCATAGATCATCGTGTCTACCCATCTCTTTGTTTTTATGGGCGTTTATTGATGCGTAGCGGACGGTTCCTGAGAAAAAACAATATATCTCATTAAATATAATAATTAAATGTTTGGAAGACATAGGATACCAGGTTATTTGACAATTTTGCTCATTAAATGGCACAGACAAAGAATCCAGACATCTCTAATCCCCAAATCCTCAAATTCCTGATCCCCAAAATAGAAACGCAATAGTAACTCCTCTTGAGTTGTGTGTGCATGTATGTATGAAATACAGACTCTGGCAAAGAAATCCATAATGCAAGTACGGGATAAAGTATAGTATAAATATAATGTACCTCTGAAGCCCGCGGCGGCCCTCGGCGGCCGCACCTGTCCGTTGCTGGTGGTGTACTGGCGCGCCAGCCCGAAGTCCAGCATGTACACCTTGCGGCAGTTGGACGGGTGCCGACCTATGCTGAAATTACTCTGGAATACAAACAATAAGGGATTAATATTGTGTTTTTATTCTTATAATTTCTAATCATAAGTTTGTAATCACCAACCCGCATTGAACAAGCGATGAATGCCCAAACCTTCTCCGTGTGAGAAGATGCTTTGCTCAGCAGTAATCACTTATAGGCGGTTGATGATGATTGCGTTTTTCATTTTCAAGGCCACGGTATTAATATTTTATTACAGTCTCCTCAAAACTCACTACTGAGTGGAGCCCACTCAACGTCAATAAACGTCGCGGTGGCTTCTGGGCCCGGAAGGAGATGACGGCATGAACTTGACGCCTATGAAAAGGATTGGCCATAGAAAGCTGTAAGAAGAGTTGAGTGGAAGGAGGGTAGGGATGCCTTTGGCCCGCAGTGGGGCAAACATGGCTAGAAATAATTTTATATAAAGCGGATGAACGCGTTAATCTCCGAAACTACTGATTCGAATTGAAAAATTATTTTTGTGTTGGATAGGCCATTTATCGAGGAAGGTTATAGGCTATAAAACTATACGATACGATCAACAGGAGCCAAGCAGAGCGGGTAAAACCGCAAGGAAGTAGCTAGTAATAAATAAATACAATCTGCTCTAAGTTTGTCTTGAGATTGTCCAATCACTGAAGGGTGGACGAAAACATCCTCTAAATTTTCGGTGACGTATCGGTGATATACCAAATATAGAGATAATGAGTCCCGGTAACCCGTTAGGTTCTCCGCGGCTCCGTATCGGCATCAGCCCTATTGGGCCCCATCCGTGGTGGTCTGATGGCTCTTTGGTTCAAGAGAAGGTGGCCGCTTATTTCCAACGCCCTAGTAGTAATATAATGGAAACAATGTACTTACTGGTTTAATATCTCTGTGTAGGAATCCCACGGAGTGTATCGAGTCTATAGCTTTGAGTATTTGTAATCCCAGTCTGGAACAATATATTAATACTTCAGTAAAGAATAATTAATTTAATAATCCTAAAATGGTGGTATTGACTGCCTTGTTGGCAGAGTGGTGGCAAGTGTGACTCTCGGGTTCGATTCCCGGGTCGGGCAAAATATTACTGTTTTTTTTAATTCTCAGTAGTAGCACGGAGTCTGGAATTGTGCCCGGTATATGGCAATAGGCTCACCCTATTACATGGGACTCATAACACAAATAGTTAAAAGTGGGTGTTACATTGTACAGTGGCATAATGATTTCGGGGATAAAAGGCGTGATGTTACGTGGTATTATTTATTCTAAAACGGTGGTCACGTGGTGCGTTCGCGCTAGAATTTTAAAAATTGTAGCCCCACCCACGCCTCGCTCGAGCGGGCTCCGCACTCGTGCCAACAGTAGCCGCCGAAACGTTTAGCAAGTGAGCGTGTATTAAAAACGATTCGCGATCCCGTCTCTTTTCTCAGTTTCTTAAATTCATTGTGAACAACATTTTCTATGGAATAGTAGGCAAACGAGCAGACGGATCACCTGATGGTAAGCGATCAGCGCAACCCATGGACCCCCTCAACATCAGAGGAGTCACAGTTGCGTTGCCGGCCAACATCCAGCAAATTTGTGGGCTTACTCCTGAATCCAATCCCAATCGATCGACATTGACATTGGTATTGTGAAATCTTACTCTTGAGTTGCAACACTAGCGCCCATTGCATCCGTATTGCGTGGATATTGAATGAACTAAATGGTATTGAGTTTGGCTTTATATTCCGTACTCTGAATGCTATTGTAACAGCTACGATAGGGGTTGTATAGTTTTGACATTGAATAAATATTGAGATTTTATTGGATTGTAATTGCATTAACATTGAGATTGGTTTCGAGAGTAAGAACCTAGGTCACTGTTAACATTAATTTCCTCACCTAAGCGTGGTAGAGAGTGAGAAGGCCCCCCTTGGCTGCGCCCTGCGTAGCTCGGCGAGGTTCCGTCCCTGTAGCTGCATCACCACGTAGTTGAAGCGAGCGTTGCGGCCGCAGCCTATGAAGCGACACACGTGCTCTTTGCCTGGAAACGTAACTCATTCAAGTTATTAAAACATCGTCATTAATAGGATATAAATGGCTACTGCTGAGCAAAAGGCTGTCTACTTATGTAGCGCACGCTGCTCATGAGGAAGAGCCCCTCTGTGGCTCGAAACTAGTAGAGCTTTTCTCAGTATATTCACGTGAGTAACCCGCGATTTTTTAGTCAATTTAGTATGTCTCACGATAGTTATTATAAAAACATGATTCCTTCTGCTTGATTATTATGCTAAAATAATTCCCGTCCTAAAGAGTTAATGAATTCAATACATATTATAACAATAATTTCCAGCTCCAAAAGAACCTACCTTGCAATTTCTTCAACACAGCGACTTCCATCTTGAGCACCTGTTTGGGCTGGCGAGCTGACTCCACCTTCAGCGCGACCTGCTCCTGCGTCACCAGGTCCAAACCTTCGTAGATCTCGCCGAAACCACCGCCACCAATCTTCTTTACCACCTGGAACGGCAAGAAGGGTATTTTGTAGGTATTTTCATGTTACAGGCATAGTGTGAACTGCCTCGTTGGTCGAGGGGTGTCAGCGAAGGGTATCAGGTTCGATAAATATGTAAATATGTTTCTAGGTTTCTGATAGTTAAAAATTTTCAGTGTACTAGTGTGGAATCGTCTGGTGTGTATAAACATGCAAAAAACCCCTTATAAATATGGTAAAAGATTGTCAATTCTATCTCCGCTTTTAAAAATCTATGTAATACATAATATTTTTTCTTTTCTTAGCAGTTTCCTCGCTTACCGGTCTCCTCAGTCTACTTGGTCTACTCGGTCTACTGGTCTACTAGACCTACCTTCCATCGTTCCTTGACAACGTGGCCCGGCTGCAGCAGGTCCTCGGACGCCATGGTGATGTGATGTGCGCGCCGCGAGGTGTCGCACCTGGACGCCTCGCGCGACTGACGACCTCCGAAGTTCGGGAGGGTTCGAGACCTGGAATTATAATAGTACATTATTTATTATTTGTGAAAATGTCCAGTAAAACGTATCGAAAAGACGGTTTTCGTCGTAATTATGCACCTCGGTCAACACCTTTTTTATGGAATAACCTGATGGATCACTATCTGATGGTAAGCAATCGGCGCCGCTCATAGACACCCGCAGAACCAGAGGAGTTACAAAGCCGACGTTTTCGAGATTAGAGCATTGGAGATAAGACTGGTAACCTCACTCACACGATGAAAATCAACCCAAGTATACGTCGTACGTCTTACGTCGGTCGATCCGACCCATTCGTGTCAAAGGATGGCTCTGATGATATGAGAATAGCATAAAATATTCATAAACTACGTCTAGAAAACCTGTCTCAAATTCCATCTTTTTTTGAAGTCGATTAAATAATACCTCTTTTTTTAACTCGTCGAGCACCGTCGTTATAGACACAATTAAAGAACAATAGGTTGCGGTCACCGGTGACCGCTTGGTGTTTGACAGTTTAAGGGGGATAAGCATCGAATGACTTCTCCCGCCTGGGTGAGGCGGGAGGAAGCGTCAGACTCTAAACTACTAAAAACTAAAGACTAAGAACCACCTTGTTCCTACTCCTGCACTTCGAGCCCCGCCCCTGTAACCCGTTAGGTTCTCCGCGACTCCGTATCGGCATCAACCCATCCGTAGTGGTCTGATGGCTTTTTGAGGCGCGCACGGAAGGCGACGCAAATAATACCTTTACTAAAACCTTCTCCTCAGTGTAACAAACACTTTTCTGGAAACCGCATCAATATCGGTTGAACCATTTGCGAGATATTCACGCACAAACATACATACATACAAGTCTAACTCAGACACTCCTTTTTTTGAAATCGGTTAAAAATTGAGATATTTTTACCACAAGATAAGTTAGTATTAGATAAATAACAAACGAACCATGAAGAAGGGTTGAAAGTACAAACTCGTATCCTTATTTAAGGCTCGTACACAAAACGGCGATGCGACGCCGCATCGCAAAAATGTGCGAGCTCCCTCTACGCATCGCAAGAACTTGCGAATTGATTCGCATCGCGCATCAAAATCTTATCTTCCCAAAATCTTCTTTGTTTCTTTTTTCTACATCTCCTACGCAATAACAGAAGTGCACACTTCTTTTTACGATCCATGTCACGACTTAGTTTTCAATTTAAAATACGTTTAGTACGGTTGACGGTCGTCGAAGGAATGGTCACCTTGGGAGACGCCTTGTCGCACGAAATCGCATCGCAGCAATACGCATCGTAACTTTTTGCGTTGCGTATTCGCATCGCATCGCAGTTTTGTGTACGAGCTCTTAAACAGATGTTATCTCAGTAAAGGTCAGAGGTTAATCTGACTTGAACACTAAAGGTTCATGTTGTAGAGTTGAACATTTTATTACTTCAGCCACGATTAGGTTTCCAGCCTTGAACTAAGTCGTTTATGTAAAGAACTGTGATACTTATTGTCTGTCTGTGGATCATTTTCGGATGGTTTCAATGAGTCATCATCAGCCTATAAGTGACCACTGGTAAGTAAAGGCTTCTTCTTACATGGAGAAGGATTGACGATTGATCACTACATTTGTTCAAGACGCATATATACTATCGAAAGTACTCCAAGTTGTTTTGCCGCGTGACGAAAACGAAATAGATTACACGGTGTATAGACTTTTACAAATATTCATTTACTAGCTACTTCCGCGCGGTTTCACATGCTTTGCTCAGCTCCTATGGGCATAGCGGGATGTTTTATAGCCTAAAGCCATCCTCGATAAATGCGCTATCCAATACAAAAAGAATTATTCAAATCAGACTTGTAGTTATGGAGATTAGCCCGTCCAAACAAACAAATAAAAAAACAAACTCTTCCGCTTTATATAATAGTATAAGGTACACGTTTTTGTCCCACGGACATAAGCATAAACTACAAAGATTTTACATACTAAAATAAATCTGTAAGGTCTGAAACCCAGGCATTGGCTCCCAAGGTCGCGTAGCTATTCTGAAAATGTGTATTTGAGTGTAAAACTACGGTTGGAAAGGTTCTTGTAAATCGTTACGTAAAAGCCTATATTACGCTTTATCTCTTAGCTTTTACGTGCGGCTTTACTCGCATGAATATCTCTTGAAAACCTTTCTCTGTACTCCCAACTATATGTATGCAAAATTTCAAGAAGATTGTTTTAGTAGGTAAAGCGTAAAGTAGCATGTAAGGAGCGTAGTAGGTGGCGCTCTGTAGTTTCTGTATACCATCAGATGTATGAATGTGATGGAAGCTAAAGAAGTATGTAAGGAGCGTAGTAGGTGGCGCTCAGTAGTTTCTGTATACCATCAGATGTATGAATGTGATGGAAGCTAAAGAAGTATGTAAGGAGCGTAGTAGGTGGCGCTCAGTAGTTTCTGCATACCACGGGACAAAGTTGTGAGTTTATGTATGGGTGAACTTTACAGCATTTTTGAGATTTGGCTCTAGGCAACCATCTTAGAATTGTCACACACCTAAGGTCGCCGTATGAAAAGGTGAACTCTATGAATAAATGATGGGTTCGCTTCAAAAGCTTACACCAGACGCATGCGAAGCTTGCAGTTGACATACATACAATATACATGCATACATAACTTCACGCCTGTATCCCATGGGGGTAGGCAGAGACTAAGGAACGCCAATTACTACGATTCTTACATACCTCTTACATAGCTCGTCGGTTAAGGGTACAGTTGCAGTATGACACATTTTGTTTCAAGGTACAGATGTAAAGAGATATATCACATTCAGTTATCACTAGTTGTGTCATAAGTTATATTTAATAACAACATACGTCACCACAAAGTTCTTTTTTTAGCCTTGACCGAAGAATGTTTATGGAATAAGCCGGTATCCGAACAAACAGATCACACAGGTAAGCAATCAGCGTCGTCCATTGACACCCGAAACACTAGAGGAGTTACTAGTGCATTGCCGACCTTTTGGGGATTAGGAATTTGAGGATTGTTGGGGATTTGGGAAGGGGGGTAATTGGGCCTCTGGTAACCTCACTCACACGACAAACACAACGCAAGTGTTGCTTCACGTCGGTTTTCTGCTCGGCCGTGGTATCACTCCGGTCGAGCCGGCCCATTCGTGCCGAAGCATGGCTCTCCCACACTTAATTTTTTAACTGTTATTGTACTTTGCAACCACTCGATCAACGAAGCAGTCAAAGTAGGTGGAAACCTTAACAAAATAGATGTCGTGTCGGTCTATGATGACCGATTAGCCTTTCTCAGTTTTTATTGGCAGTTAAGGCATAATTAATATAGGTTATTTTATTTCTATACTAGCTGAACCAGTCGCGGAGAACCTAACGGGTTGCCTGGGCTCCGACTCGACGTGCAGGAGAAGGAACGGGGTGGTTTTTAGTCAGTAAGAGTCTGACACTCCCTCCCGCCTCACCCAGGCGGGAGAAGTCATTCGATGATATTCCCCCTTTAAAAAAAAATACTAACTGAACCAGCATACTTTGTACATCGCAAATTTTTCTCATCGTTTAATTAAACATTCCCTAGATTTCCATGAACATTTCAAGACCAAAATTAGCCAAATCGGTTCACCCGTACTCGACTTCTAGCTAGAGTAACGAACGGTAAATAATATTCATTTTTATTTATATATAATATGGACTTGAATAAAATTATTTTGTAGCTTACCTCAATAATGGGTTTGGTTGGATTCGCGGAGCACTAGCCGCTTCCTGGCGACGCTCTTCCCTCTGTGGACAAAAATCATTCTATTTTAAGTGTGGGAGAGCCATGCTTCGGCACGAATGGGCCGGCTCGACCGGAGTGATACCACGGCCTCACAGAAAACCGACGTGAAGCAACGCTTGCATTGTGTTTCGTCGTGTGAGGGAGGTTACCGGAGGCCCAATTACCTTCCCCTTCCCCAATTTCCCCAATCCCTGAATCCCCAACGATCCTCAAACTCCTAATCCCCAAAAAGCCGGTGACGCACTTGTAACGCCTCTGGTGTTCTAGATGTCCATGGGCGACGCCGATTGCTTACCATCAGGTGATCCGTCTGCTCGTTTACCGGCTTATGGCATAAAAAAAATATTATAAACCATGTTTGAAGAGAAGTCGGTTACTCAACATAGCAAAACCTTATCCCGAGTGTAAGAAATACTTTTCTCAAAACCGCATCAAACTCGGTTCAGCCAATCGTGATATATTCGCGCACAAACATACATACAACATAATAAATAACATCACGCCTTTTATCGTCGTAGGGGTAGGCAAAGGTGCACATAATGCCACTGTACAATGTAACACCCACTTTTCACTATTTATGTTATGAGTCCCATGTAATAGGGGGTGAGCCTATTGCCATATACCGGGCACAGTTCCAGACTCCGTGCTACTACTGAGAATTTTTTAAAAGCCTAGTAATACTTTGCCCGACCCGGGAATCGAATCCGAGACCTTGCGACCACTCTGCCAACGAGGCAGTCTATACATACATACAACTGAGAACCAAATACTTTTATATGACAGTTACCTGTGGTTCATGTCGTCGTGCCTTCTGTGCGGGTGCAGCAGACCCAGATCCTTGGGACGCAGTGTCCGCTGATGATGACGACGATTCTGTAGGTAATAGAAACAGATTTTTAACTAAATTCATTGAGGAGGATACCTGGAATGTACAGACTGTATTAAACTTGTTGTCCTCAAGGTTATTTTCTTTTTCCGTCTCCTTGACTAAATGTTGGTGTTGCTTTGTTCTCACATAATTAATTGAACTCAACGGAAGAATGTTACCAAAAATTGTATTGTGAACCCGGTTGAAAAAGAGTAACCTATGGAGTTTCTTGCTCGTTCTTTTCCATAGGAATCTACACTTTGGAACGAGGAAATAGAGTAACTAGAGGACTGACCTACAGACTGACAATTTTTCTTATTATTAAATATTTTGTTTGTGACGTTCAAAAGTGCCTTCCTTTAAAATAATACGAAATATATAATTACCTGTTAACTACAAAAATCGCGGATTACTCACGTGAATATACTGAGAAAAGCTCTACTAGTTTCGAACCACAGAGGTTCTTCCTCATGAGCAGCGTGCGCGGTCGCGTCAGTAGGCTGCGCGACATCGCCGAGTATATTCAAAGTCAAAGTCAAAGCATTTATTTCAATTAAACCATAATTTGGTACTTTTGAAACGTCAACAAATACAAAATAAATAATAGTCTGTCAGTCAGTCCGTCAGTGAAGCTAGGTGCTCATTCCAAAATGTAGATTCGAATGGAGAAGAACGAGCAAGAAACTCCATTAGTTACTCTTTTTAAAAAAAATTCACGTGAGTAACCCGCGATTTTCTAGTTAAACTGTCAAACACCAAGTGGTCACCGGTGACCGCAACCTATTGTTCTATAATTGTGTCTACAAAACCGGTACTCGACGAGTTAATTTAATATATCTCACGATAGTTATTATAAGAACATAATTACCTGTGTTCTTAGATTGTTGCGGCGCCTCCTTCTTGAACGATGCGTCTCTCTCGCACGTCGGCTCTTGTTCCCTGCAACAACAATAAAAACATACGCTTAGAAAATATAGCCAAGTCTGATAACTAATTCTACTTAATACTAATTAACTCGTCGAGTACCGGTTTTGTAGACACAATTATAGAACAATAGGTTGCGGTCACCGGTGACCGCTTGGTGTTTGACAGTTTAAGGCTTCGTTGGCCGGGCAAAGTATTACTAATTCTGCCTGTCAGTCTGGAATTGTGTCCTGTGAATGACAATAGGTTCATCCCCTATTAAATGGGACTCGTAACATAAATAGTGAAAAGTGGGAGTTACATTGTACAGTGGCATTAAGTGCCGTAATATCCACCTCTGCCTACCTCTTCGGGGATAAAAGTTATTAATTATGGTTTTACAATATTGTGCGAATTGTAAGTACCTTTATCGACTTACTGCCGTAGTTACTACATTTAAGATGACTTAAACTAGGGCTTTCTTACTAATGATTTGTTCCGAATTACTGAGGGCTAAGTTTTTTTAAGGGGGGAACACCATCGAATGGCTTCTCCCGCCTGGGTGAGGCGAGAGGGAGTCTCAGACTCTTATTGACTAAACACCACCCTGTTCGTACTCCTGCACTTCAAACCGGAGCCCCGGCAACCTTTTATGTTCTCCGCGGCTCCGTATCGGCATCAGCCCTATTGCCCTGAATAACCATTAAAAATTTAACGACTTATGTCATTAGAACTATCTACGTATGTTGATTATCAAATTTATTAGTAGAAGTGGACTATAGATACGTTTAAAACGTAGACTGTCTATGCTTCGGCACGAATACCTAAGTGGGCTTGACTATAGGGATATCACAGCATGCCAGGAGTGAAACAACGCTTGCGTTGTTTAGTCGTGTGCCCTTCCCCTATCTTCCCAGTGCCTGAATCTCCAACAATCCTCAAAATTCCTAAAATCCATATTATCAAAAGGTCCGTAACGCACTCGTAACGCCTCTAGCGTTCCGGGTGGCCATGGGCGACGCCGTTTGCTTACCATCAAGTAATCCGATTGTTCGTTTACCCATTTTATTATATCCCATAAAAAGACAACGCCTACTATGTGTGCAACCGTGTGTGTGCGGGTTATCGACGGCTCAATACAGAAAACGTCCGAAAATTCCAATCCAGAAAATTTTTGATAAATTTTCTTATAGGTAACGTAACATAATACGCTTCCATGTTTTTTTATTCTGACGGACTTGTTGGCCGAGTGGTTGCAGATACGACTGCCAGACAATGGGTCTCGGGTTCGATTCCCAGGTCGGGCAAAGTATTACTAGATTTTTGAAAAAAAGTCTCAGTAGTAGCACGGAGACTGGATTTCTGCCCGGTATATGGCAATAGGTTCACCCCCATTACGTGGGACTTATATCATAAATAGTGAAAAGTGGGTGTAACATTGTACAGTGCGGGAATGTGCGTCCCTGCCTACTCGTTCGGGGATAAAAGGTGTGATGTTATTTTTTTATACATGCAAGGATCAAACTATAATTACCATTAAAAAAAACTACACGAAACACAGTACAAACAACTTGGCGTTCCTCTACCAAACATCGAATTATCTAACAAAATGGTTCGCGGCAAATGATCATAATAAATAATCAATTAATTTGGCCTCAATAGATAACACAGCTGCATATAAACATCATCCTAGATCTGTCAAACATCTTCAATCAAACATCACCTTTAACACCGAGACAAAAGATTGAATATCCAATTACATAATGTGTCAAAATGGTGTACGATGATGTGCGGCTTATGAGCTACTTTCTATAATACAACCACAATAAATTATCATTTGAATCACAACGTATTACGGTTGAATATCGACTGAACTAATTCGACAAATTGGTATATTTTTGAGTGCAGTGTATGAAAGTTATCGATATTCGTATATATACCTAATTAGTTATACCTAATTTATTGCAATGTTATTAAATTTAATAAGGGAATCGTAAGTCGTGATCAGTTGCTTGAAGCGTGGCGATAGCTTAGATCTCAGAAATATTTAGGACAACTGTGAATCTATGAATAAAATAGATATTCGCAAAATAGACAAATCTTATACTATTATATAAAGCGGAAGTTTGTTTTTTTGTTTGTTTGTTTGAACGCGTTAATCTCCGTAACCACAAGTCTGATTTGAATAATTCTTTTTGTGTTAGATAGCGCATTCATCGAGGATGGCTATAGGCTATAGGCTATAAAACATCACGGTACGACCAATAGGAGCTGAGCAGAGCTTGCAGAGCCTGTGAAACCGCGCGGAAGTAGTTAGTATAATGACGTTTTGTAGGCACTATTCGCATCGCAAGAGCCACCCGACGAGAAATACCTCTTCGAGTCACAACGACTGACTCACAATGAGTGACTACCTCGTTGGCCGAGTGGTCGCAAGTGCGACTGCGCGGCAAGGGGTCTCGGGTTCGATTCCCGGGTCGGTCAAAGTACGACTGGGTTTTTTTTAAGTAACTCAGTGGTAGCACGGAGTCTGGAATTGTGCCCGGTATGTGGCAATAGGCGCACCCCCTATTACATGGTACTCATAACATAAATAGTGAAAAGTGGGTGTACATTACGTACAGTGGCATTAAGGCGCCGTAATGTGCACCACTGCCTACCGGTTTGTATGTGCTTACAAAGTTAATTCTTGTAATAGTTCACCAGTTATTTTTTGTTGTAAACATTTTATTTGTTTGTAAAACTATTGTATTACCGAGACAGAACCATTTTACTTCGGGACGAAAACGGGATTTCACGGTGTATAACGAAAAGTACCACAAAATCTGAGCTCAGTTTAGAACTAGCATCTTTGTAAACAATCAATCAACGTGTTTATTATATCCCAGTGAACCAAAAACTTGATAATTAACGGCACAGAGCGAGATAGCGCACATAGCTGCTAGAGTTTAAGTTAAATTATTGATAACCTAACATTTTGACGTAGTGTTGTTATTATTATATAAATAGAAGCCTTATTTTTTATATTTTGAACGTTTTTCACATAGGGCAAAAGGTCTAATAGGTTTGCCGGTAAACGAGCAGACGGATCACCTGATGGTAAGTAATCGGCGTCGCTCATGGACACTCGGAACACCAGAGGCGTTGGCGTTACAAGTGCATTACCGGCCTTTTGGGGATTAGGAATTTGATGATTGTTGAGGGATTGGGGAGATTGGAGGAGGGGGGGGGGGGGTGATAATTGAGTCTTTTATAAGATGCTAATTATTATCCGCCAATAACAATCTCGAGTGATTACACATTGTAGAGGTATATCTGTAAACGCACTCACGACACAGGAGAAAATTAATGTGGACCAATGGGGTAACTTGTCCCCAATATCTCGTGAGTTTGTGTGTGTGTTTGTTATATCTAAACAACTGAAGAGATCGGGAATGAAATTTGGAATAGAGGTGGATTATGGTCTGGAATAACACATGATTTTTATAGGGGAAAAAATCATCGAATGCTTTAGAGAAGCCTGGGTGAGGCGGGAGAAGAAAAAATATAGGGCGGGAGAGGGGAACACATAGGCTACTTTTTATCGTACGGGAAAGTGGGTAAAGCCATCGGCTGATGCTAGTATAACAAATAGGAAAGTTTGTAGCAGCCATTTTTTTTAAATTTTGCGTTCATTGTGTAGTTGGAAGCAAGGAAAAGGACGCAGATGGAACCAAGTTGCTGGTAAATCCTAGTTCACTACTAAACTTGCATAACATAACATAACATTAGGCCTTTTATCTCCGAAGGGTGCACATTACTGCACTTAATGCCACTGTACAATGTAACACCTACTTTTCTCTATTTATGTTATGAATCCTATGTAATAGGGGGTGAGTCTATTGCCATATACCGGGCACATTCCAGACTACATGCTACTACTAAGATTTTTAAAAACCCAGTAATACTTTGCCCGACCTGGAAATCAAACACGAGACCCCTTGCCCGGCAATCGCACTCGCGACAACTCGGCCAACGAGGCAGTCCTAAACTTGCATCCTTCTCAAAAATCTAGGCACAACATCTAGGTGTAGTCTTATGCTATTTATTTTTATTCCCCGCATCTTAAAAGTAGGTTACATCTATTATCTGAAAGTGCCATCTTTTGAAGCGCATATAAAAATAAATATCTGACATTTGACGTTTTTAGAAAAGAACTATTTACGTTTATGCCAGCTGTCCGATTCTAATTTTGAGAAGTGTTATGTAATCAAAAATAAGGTACACATATCATTCTTCATAGTAGACATATTGGATTTAGGCTGTGGTGGCCCGGAGGTTTAAGATGCCCGCTTCTCGTACATGAGAGTGCGGGTCCAAGACCTACCAACGGCAAGTACGAATGTGCCTTTTTCCGAGTTATATGTACCTTCTACGATAATTCAGACAAACGGTGATAGAAAACGTCGTGAGGAAACCTGGGCTTATAATTTGTAATTATAAGTTTGAAATCGCCAACCTGCATTGAGCAAGCGTGATGATTAATGCTCAAAACTTCTCCGTGTGAGAAGAGGCTTTGCTTAGCAGTGGGCATTTATAGACTGTTGTTTTTGATGATGATAATGATATTGGATTTATTATTGCGTTCATGGTGGTAGAAGACGGATGTCAGTTGGTGCATTAAGTGACTGACTGAGAGACTAGCCAAGATGTTTGAGTACCCAGGTAAAAAGGTAAAAATAGACTCAGTATAATACTGTAAGATCTAGGTAGTTTTTAAATGAAGACTAACTTATTTATGGGATAGGCCAGTAAATGAGCGAACAGATCACCTTATGGTAAGCATTCGGCGTCGCCCACGGACACCCGCAACACAAAGATACGCAAAGATATGCCTTGGTGGATATTAAACTATAATGAAAATTTAATAAAAAGTACCCTTAACCGACGAGCATGCACGAAAATACTGATGACTGTTGATGAAGCGAAAGAGATATGTGAAAATCGTAGCTATTGGCGTTCCCAAGTCTCTGTCTACCCCTGGAAGACAGGCGTAA